TGAATATATATTATAATTTTAAAGAAATGATGTTCTGCAACAGATACAGCATGAAATAATGTGAAACAACTGTCAATGCTGTATAAAACGCCAAAAAATATGCAGTGTAGTTTATATACAGTATGCGCATCATATCAAGAAAAATATTTAAATAACAACAAATAGCCCTATAGCGAAATGTGCTAACTGGGGTTTTAATCATACTCTTAATTGAATACTGTACCATACTACGAAATTCACCTTGGGGGTGTGTGTGACTAAGAGACAGAAGTACTGTATATGTTCAAATGTAATGTTCAAATATCTGACCATTTCAAAGAGTACCATTAAATTTTTGACTCTGAGGGTAAAACATGGATGTAGGTTTGGTTTCAACATTGGTAGGAGCAAAATCTACCCCAAACCCCAGCCTCCCCCCCCCCCTTGAAATGATCAGACCAATATTTGAACACTAAACCTGAACATATATTTGACACACATGGTACTCCTGTAATATGGACAGGGACATAACACCTCATCAATACCCAAATCTGTGCCCTTGGAGTAAAAACCTGCTTAAAAAATAAATAAATAAATAAAACAGAAAAGTGAAGCAGAAACTTGTGAAATCAATGAATTAATTTTTGAGGGCCAGATGCTCAAAGGTTTAAAGGGGCACTCAGCACCTTTAAAGCTCACAATACATAGCCGGGGCAAACCAGGCAGCTTCTCAGGCATTCCCAGAACTGCCACCCTTCTGCATGTCCCTACTACAAACCACACCTGCTGCTCAATTAGTAAAGCATTGCCAAAACAACATGAAGGGTATGGGTTCAAATCCCAGAATGCAAGACGTTGTAGCCTTTTCCCACTACTTTAGATGAATCTGTCAGATTAATGTAAACAAAGCACACTTCCTGGGTTAATTCTCCCCAAGAAAATGAATTTTAAAATTATTTTCAAAATATAATTTTTCTGTATTTGTACTACAAAAGGGGGCAGCACAGTGGTGCAGTGGTTAGCACTGTTGCCTTACATCTCTGGGACCAAGGTTCAAGTCTCCCCCTTGGCTTCATGTGTATGGAGTGTATATGTTCTCCCCATGTCCATATGGGGTTTCCTCTGGGTACCACAGTTTCTGCCCACAATCCAAAAACATGCTTGTGTTGCATGAGTGTGCCCTGCAATGGGTTGGCACCCCATCCTGGGGTACTTTCTGCCTTGTGCCCATAGGCTCCAGACCCCCAATGAGCAGGAGTTACAGAAGATGGATGTACTACAAAACAAAAGCACATTGTTCTAAGGTTTGTCTAGGACAGAAACATAGGCCAACCTCACATCTGAAGCAAATCCTATATGACCATATTTTTCTTAAAACTGCATTTCAGAAAATGGGCTGCCAACTTAATGCCAAAGCCTCAAATTAAGACTTTGAGCTTCTGGAACTATCATCTGCAACGATTGCTTATTTTTAGATGTACTATCAGCATGAAATCTAGGAAAATTATGTTTAACAGAGCCATTTGCCTTGAAAATATTAACAATTCAAACATTAAAATTATAATTGAACTCTAACTCATTGTGTGGCTAAATCAAGAAACATCAACGGACCAAAGTGTGTCACAAAACACTTGAAAGTTAACCCAAAGTAAAGGTAGTAAAGATACGTAGAGGTCGTGGTCACAGCCTGTCATTGTGAATGGGGCCCGTTAATGTTGTCACAAAACATCTGTCTCCAGAAGGTCTCAGACAGATACCATACATGGGACCAACCAGTTTCAAGTGACCACACCCAGATAGTCATTCGGGCAATGCAGAACTGAAGTATTTGTTGGGGAATGTTTAGCTGAACTATACTTACCAGATCAGATTAAGATCAGGTTAAGAAAAGCAGACAGACAATAAATAGATAGTTTAGATAGATAGATTTATTAATTGATTGATTGTCTAGGTCAGGGGTCGGCAACCTTTTTGACATGGAGTGCCAATTATATATTTTCTTGTTATTCCGCGTGCCATGGGGGGGCTACCATCGAGTAGACAAACCAAAACAGCAGGCGCGCCAAGCAACAGCCAATGACATTTCAACATCATAGAAGACGTCTGAATTTTTTTTCATGTGTTTAATAATTAGGGTTGTGATCTAGAGACCTGCGCGGGACGAATTTTTCAGTCCCGCTCCTGCCCGCTCCCGCAAAAAAATATATATTATTTTCTCCAGCTCCCGCCCGCAGTATTCAAGTTTTGTCCCGCTCCCGCCCGCAAAATCCCGCAGGAAAATATATAAGTAGTTTTATTTTTACCACTTCTTCCAGCTACTCTGTTATTTGTTTCACTTGCTTCCATTTTGAGTGTATATAAAAAAGAAACGGAAAATAAACAAATATGTTTCGTTTTATTTGAGTTTAATTAAATTGAATGATGAACATGGACACGAACGAGGAGCTTTTCAGAACATAGAAATACACTCAGAACAGAAATAGGCTAATAATATTGCAATGAAACAAAATAATAATAAACGTTGATTTCTCAAGTGGTCAAACAGAAAAGCATTTGCCCTAATACTGCTTCAGAGCGTTAGCCTTTAATTTAGTCGTTCTTGTTGCTTTTGTACAGTAGATAAATAATAGAGTACTTGTTTTTAATAAATTAATTTTAAGATAATTCCATTTTGCGGGAGTCCCGCGATTAATTCTATTCTCCCGCAACCCGCACATACATGAGGACCTTACCGCCCACACCCGCATTCACCCATCAAATCTTGTCCCGCGCCGCACTCGGTGCGTTGGGTCCCGCGGGTCCCGCAAGTCTCTATTGTGATCATCGTCAGCGTGCCACCCGAAATTCCTCCGCGTGCCAGTTGTGGCACGCGTGCCTAGGGTTGCCGACCCCTGGTCTAGGTCATGCCATTCTGTTTTGTTCTATACAGCCTGAGGGTGGCAGCATAGCTCATTGGACAAAATTTGTGAAGTTTGTAGGCTTCTTACTGACATTGAATTGCTGCCTTCATGGCCAGTTGATAAATTTAGGTCTAATTCATTTATGAACAGAAACATTTAAGAAAACAGGAATTAGTTAAATTCTGTCAAATTCAATAGCTTTTGTATTTTTTATGGCATTGCTCCGTGCACAGTGGAAGAATTTGATCCACCTCCTTTTCAACGAGGCTGAACCGAATTTCAGGTAATTTACTTAGTAACGCATAAGGTACGACCGACCGACAGAATCATTAAGGGTTCATCCTGTTCAGTCCCATGTCAAAGAGGCTTTTTATTGCTTCTAAAATCAATGCCAGAAAGGGACTTTTCTTTTTGGGGATTTTTGCATCTTGCTGCGCCAAGCAGTAGCCTGTGTTTGCATGACTTTGCTATCCGCCATCCCTAAAACACCATAACTGCAGTTAGCAATACAGCATTGTTCCATCCATGCATCCCTCTATTTTCTATACTGTATATGCTTGTCTTATGCAGGGTCGACAGGGTTTGGAGCCTGTCCTGGAAGCAACAGCAGCAAGCAGGTGATAACCCAGGATGGGGGAGCCACCCATTGCATGGCTAAGGCATTGTTAAACATCTGAAGACTCCAGGGGTCACCCAGTTAATTAGCGTTACACAGGTTCACAGGTCTGAAAACCTTTCATATTCCCAAAGAGAAAATGATGTTTAAATTACAGAATATTAATAGTAATCATGTAACCATAAATCTTCCATTCTCCTAAGCTGTCCCAGGCATCTTGTCTTCTGCATAATAAAAGAATTTCCGTAATTATAGGCTTATTTTGCTTTTATCATATAATTTATGCCACTACCACCCACTCTGATGTTAATCCACTATAAATTAGTAACCTACCATCCAGCTTTGAAAATCTATTAAGTAAATATTACTTTTTGGAACACATTGCATGTAAATTAAATGAACTAGAGACAGGTTCCGCAAATACAAGGAGAAAATGAAAGAATAATGTAGAAAAATCCACACGATACGGGAAGCCTCATGAAGCCACTGGATGTGGTCTCTCCAATTGGAGGCACAGCTGGTCCTGCTCCTGCCCAATGTGAGAATGGGGACACTTTGAAGTTGGCGAATTGAGGGGTGACACAGGGCTGTCTGTGTCCCTGCATGATTGCCACTTTGTGGATGTACAGTACATAGCAGACGGTAACTATGGACACCCTCAAGATAAGACTTTACACTAAAGCACAAATTACAGTAGCTTAGATGATTTTTACCTGAAGGTCATGTATAAACTTCAACGCAGTATCAGATTGTTTTTGTGTGCTTACTGCAGCTTATATAGACCAGTATTTGGATTGAACTACTTTGCTCAATGACATTCCTGGGTGCTTCTAGGTCGTGGAAGAATTCATATTCAATCAGATCTGTTATGCAGCAAAGGTAACAGAGATCCAGAGTGAAGCTTTTGTTTGGGAAACACTAATTTTCATTTGATACAAAAGTGCCCTGAGCAGGGGATTAGTGTGTGGTTCAGTGGGCTAAGCCTGTGTGCCTGTAGTCACAAGGTCGCTGCTTCAAACCCAGCCTCAGCACAGCTACAGGTCCTTGAGCCAGGCGCTGCTATGGGTGGTTGCCCTTCATGGACAACTTATTCTAAAAAGAGCAAGTTGAGGGAGGTATAAAGACAATCTCCCCATGGGGATAAATAAAGTATCTATTATTATTAGCTAGAAATTCTGGGCCTCCTGACAAAATATGACCTTGCTGTCATCATTCTGAAAAATTCAGGTCCTCCTCAGTATAATGCACACAAAGCCCATAAATCATCATTTTTTTGTATTTTGGGGCCACTATGAAATGCTAGGCTATGCTGGACTATGCTCCTCCGTCGTCCCAGGCTGTCTATGTCAGCTTCCCCTTCGCACGACGGCGGTAGTTTCGCTATTCGCCTGTAGGTGGTGATATTTCCCATGTTTTGTTTGCGATGGGGATAAACAATGAACTGTACATTCAGATGTGATCCATACTAAACTCGACATTAAAAAAAGACGTCTTTATACACCAGCAATTGGTTATGTTTTATTCTATTTACAGTAAATTTGTTATAAATATAATACATCATTTTCTGAAAAGCCAGATGTGTAGGTACATTTAAATAACAGCTTAATCAAAAGGTGGAGTTACAGAATGGGAAAATGATTCGTTTGTAGAAAATTAAAATTGTGCTTGTGAAAACAGCACAGCCATCATATCCAGATTTATATATTTTTTCCAGGAACACGTGGGCTTCTTACAGAACATCTTTAAAAAAAAAAAAAAAAAAAAAAACATGCCTCAAATTCAACAATACAACAAACCAAAAGACAACTAACTAAACTGTTGTGTGATCAGGTCCAGATTGCTCATTTCCTAGATGATATTTCACATTTTTAGGCAGAGGAAAACAAAAAGCCTACCCTTCAACTGTGACTGTAAAGCACACAGGAAACCTCCCCAATTATCAACTTGAGGAAGACAGTTCAAAGAGTTTCTGTAGGCCTCCCTCCATCTTTATTTGTATTTCATAGAAAAGGCAAAAAGGGGGGGGAGGGGCAACAGGCGGTAAGGTAGAGGCCATGGCAATGAAGTCCATATTGTGTAACTCTTAAAAGTCCATAATGCTGTGACGTCAGAACATAAACAGCTATGTTTATTTAACATCATGTGACTGCCATGTTCACAAGCACACGAGTCGGAAGGTGGGGGGGGGGGGTTTGTACAAAAGAATCTGTTTTCCGGGGTCCAGCGTGTGCGTGTCGGTCGTGGGTCAGGCTCAGACGCTGTTAATGATGATGAGCGCCGGCGTAGCGCTCTGTCGGCTCGCCTCGCACATGGAGCCCTGCTCGGCGAGCTTGGCAAAGACGCGTGGCGTGCCCAGGTTGTACACGCCGGCGTGGATGAAGCAGGCTGTCAGGCGCAGCTTGCGGACCTCTTGGGCCCGCAGAGGCAGCTTGTACTGGGTCTGGCCCAGCCACGTGAAGGAGCCATGGACCTCCAGTGTCTCTGGGCTGCGTGGGGGGAGACAGCATGGGCCAGGGCAGGTGGGTGTAAGTTTGGGACAGAGCAGGATGGTGCAGTCCGGTTCAGGTTAACAGGATTAATATCATGCTTTTGGGACCATACCAACACATGCTCTCCAAAAACTACTCATCTCCCAGTCCTCTCCTCACCGTTCGAGGACACTGTTTAACACTGATTGTAATTGAATGGATTTTGAAGCGTATAATATTGTAAATTTTATTGTTCTCTGTTGCTGTATAGTATGCAGGGACTAACATAATTGGTATGCAAGTACACATTTGTGGTATAAAGATTAAAATGCATAGCAATTCTTTGTCTTAACAGCACAAATGTGTACTTGTGTGCATTTGTGCTCTTATGACAAGAAATTGCAATGCATTTGAACTTTTATATGGCAAATGGATGTTTGTGAACTGGTTATGTCAATCCCTGATTATATGATATATGGGTTTACGAAAGAAGCTTACTGGTGGAGCTATTAAGAATCCCCCTATAATTAGCCGTGGGGCCAGAATTTCATTTGACAGCAGCAGGGAGATTCCCGTATGGTGGTGCTTTACCTGGTGGCTTTGTGCCGAAGGTCTATGATGACGTCGACTTCAGCCAATGAGCAGTTAGAGAGCATGAGCGTCACAGGTACCATGCAGAGGCTGTAGGTAGGGGAGGGGTGAAATGTAAACATGAAACTTGCCAGCTTGCTAATAGCACTCACTGCCTGAAAGGAGACACCTGATTGGTTCAATAACCACTAACACAACAGACAAGAGTGGTATGGCCTGATCTTTCTGGATCCAAACTAATCATCTCTGACTAGAACCAATTTTGAGACAAAAGGGACGGCCAGCTATCATTGTAATCATATTCATACGGGGGGGGTGTTGGGTTTACTGGGGAATGACACGCAGGGAGAGCAGCCACCTTTTCTGCGGGAACGGGTGGTCGTAGGACTCTGGGTAGTGGAGGTTTGTCTTTATCAGCTGGGACAGCTGCTCCACGGATGGCTTCGCTAACGGAGGGGGAACGTCTGGCTTGAACTTCAGCAGAACCATCTCCTCAGCTTCCTGAAAATCACATTTTCAAAAACATCACAAACAGAAGCTTCCTGGTTTCACTATGCACCTTTGGTGTAGAATGCGATGCATTCCCAAGGATGTGTGTTATTCTGTAGCAACTAAGGGCCAAACCGTGCAAACTGCCCTTAAAAACCCCACGTGCCAATAAAAAGATGACGGATGAACACGAGTCTGTCACCCCAGACATCCATTTGCCTTATGCAAGAATTACTATCTACTTCAGACTGTAGCATAGCAACAGGGCTTTCACAATAAAAAGTGTCAGACCTAATTCTGTTTAGCATAAGAAAGGGTGTTAAACAGAAGGAGAGTTATATCTTTACCGTCAACCTTCTTTAAACCAGAGAAAAGATTAATATGTCACTAAAGGTAAGCAGGTGATTATGTCATGGTTATAGAGATTCACCTGATTGGTTTAGTGAAGAGGTATGTGGTGGTATAGAGACTCTTCATTCAGAGAGACGATATTAAACAAGGGCAGGACTGTCTTAATGCCAATGAGTCAACTGACCGTGGACAACAACGGCTATTGATAGCTGAAGACACACCCTTCCTGCATATTTCTCAGGCAAAGACCTCACGGCAGATCCAGTGGGCAGTCTGCACGAGTCCCCCTCAGCCAAGCCCCAACTACGTCATTAAAAAACTGTACTTTTCACAGTGAGACATGTTCATTCTCTGTGGTGTTGGGGTTCCATTACATCTATGTAGCTGACGCTTTTTTCCAAATGTACAGATGAGGCAAATAGCAGATAAAGGCACAGATGTCAAGTCACCCAGCCATAGCAGCAGCTACGCTGAGCTTCCAGTGCATGCCTCAGTTACAAGTGTAAGCATCAAAGGAAGTTAATAAAACTATTGTTCAAATTAGCAGAAAGTACAACATTAAGAGCATTCATGTAGCATGGAGTGGTATCAGGCTAGCAGAGTCTACTGCAGACTATATGTGAGTTTTAAATGCATCATTATTAGACCATGAAGAGAGGAAAGGAACAATGCTGTCGAAGTACAAGGCAGCAAAATGCCCTGGAGCAAGACGAAAGCATCTGAACCACCATCGACAAACTGAGTATGTATATTAACAGGCAGAGGCGCCGGTGTCATGGAGGCTTGTTGGGTGGATGAGGTGCATCCAGCAGGTGCTCGTTACCTCCTTCTGTGTCAGGGAGCACGCTTCCCTCCCAATGGTTTGCAGGGCGACGTGAAGTTGCCCTTCAAGGATGAGCTGCTTATTATCCTCCACCACGTATGCCTAGGGGGGACAACAGGCCATGCTAATCATCACCATGGAGACCTTAAAGGGGCCAACAGCTCAGAGGAGGGTTCTTCCTCAAAACCACACACATGGAACATTATGGCATTTAAACCAGACAAATGCACACAGGCTGATGTCGGTTTGTCTTCCTTAACAGCTCCCTGCCTTACAGATGATTGGTCACCTACTTGTTAGCCCCCCCCCCCCCATTATGACAAGACATGGTACCTTCCAGAGAACAATGATGCTGAGGTCCACCTCGCTGCACCGGCACACCACATTGCTCAGGTGCTCCGCAGCTGTGTGGCCAGCAGGGGGAGCGAACCCCGCGCTCCCCAACATTGGCGGCTTCTTGGACTCCAGAGGGTGCCGTCGCCGGAAGAAGAAGTCGGCGCACGGTGTGGTAGCACTAATTATCTGGGGGGGCGACAGCATTTGCACATTAAAACTCCTTGAATTAGTTTTTTTTACAGAAGGGAGCGGGTAAAACGCACCTGTTCATTCCCCAGGTTGATGTCAGCAAACGTGTACTTCCCCACTGCATCTGAGGTAGCTGAGAATTCAAAATAATAATAAAATAAGAATTCTGTTCAGCGCTAATTTCCAGACGGCATCATTTTGTCCCAGAGGACTCACCTTCCGCGCTCCTGCACTTTGTGGCCCGGAAGCACAGCTTCCCCCGTTCTCTGCTTGTCAGTTTGGAATCTGCGGGAAATGGAAAGTGCCTGTGAGGATCTGGAAGACTATTACCATTCATCAGTTAGCATTTAGCGCACACTCCTGTTACGTCACACTTAAGTTTTACTGTCCATCACAATTCTGGGCAAGTATTAGAGCTGCAAACTCAGACTGAAAGGAAGCAAACTCTGCTTGCTGAGTGTGTATGGCTGTCACTGGTAATAAGTCTCTCCCACACCTTTGTCTTCGACAGAATTTATGCAGCTGTGAAGCTTCCAGTGCTGACTGCTGCTGGACACCTGAACGATGTGGAACTCCCGCACCCCAGCTTCGTTCTGCAGGGGGGAGAGATTGGTGTGTTGGGATGAGGAACAGAGAGACACTCTGGCCCACCGCCACTCCCCACACTCCCTGTGGCTTGGGGGAAGGGAGGTAAGGTGTACTTACAGTGTTGATGTTCTCCACATCCACGAAGACCAGCATGCCGCTGTTCCTGTCCTCGCTGTTCTCTGGCAGAGTGTTGCTCCGACATGCTGTGGCTCGCACACTGAGCGAGCGGCTGGCGCAGATGATAGCTGTGTGGCGCAGAACGCGGTGGCTGGGGGGGGACACAAAAAACTAAATAAAAGTGGAGAAGTGCACTTACAGTACAAGAACACACTCAAACAGACTCACAATCCTAGAAATTACAATGGGAATGGAAAAATGTTCAGAGGGCTGATGAGGGAAGCATAAAGTGATGCATCCCTTTTGTCGAACACTCATTCACCTCATCTTGGACACCTTCTTCTCAGCACTCTCGTAGTAGAACAGGAAGTTGATCTCGTGCACGCCCTCGCGGTCCGGCCCCCGCAGCCACATGGGCAGCTGGACGGAGGCGCCGGGCTGGAGTGTGGAGTCCGGCAGCGGGATCTCCACCACGCCAGGCCGCGAGCCGTCGGCCCCGGTGCCAAAGTCTGCAGGCGCAACCAGCGTGGAGGAGGCGGAGGCGCGGCCCGTGGCCACGGTCTTGTAGGCGCTGCAGTTCTCGGAGGCCCCAGGGCTGAGTGGCGTGAGTGCAGCTGCATGGCTGCCAAAGGTGAAGAACTCCGGGTGCTTGGACACCACGCGCAGGCCCTGCAGGGGCACCTTGCTCACGTTGACGAACTCCACATACGCCTTCCGGATCTCCCCGCAGAGCAGGCCCGTGGGGAAGTTGATAAAGAAGACCTGAGGAGTGATGAGGGGGGCATCGGTGGGGGTGTTATGAACCAGAAATTACATCTATGACATCTATAAATTTGAAGGAAAAAATCTGCAGTAATCTGCAATTCCCTTGGTGAGATTAATAACTATATATCTATACATCTATTGCTACTTGTATCCATCCATCCATCCATCCAGCCCCCTAGATCCATCTACTTACCGATATCCATCTATCCACTGATATATCTGTTGCCACCTATATTTCTATCTATATCCATATATCTATTCATCTACCTACATCCATCTATGGTTGGTGGCTGCTTAAGACCCAGAGGCCATGAGCCCCCACCCCACCCCAACCCCACCCTACCCTACCCAACTGATCAGCATATCTATGCCTCTGACAACTAGGTTAATCAAATTATGCTTATGGCCCTGAAGTGGGCTGGCCAAACCCTGCTGTTAGCAGTCAGTGCCACTTCTGTTGATGGGGGGCTCAGGCACTCACTTCCAGCAGGGGCATGGGGGGTGTGATGATGGGGTCCAGCCGCCGGTCCGGGCCATGCCGCACTGACGTCTTCTCTTCCTTAGTGTTGTTCAGCCTTGGACCCTGAATCTCCAGGTCCTGGCGACCACGTACGAACAGGCCATCGCTGAAGATGCTTCCTGCAACAACAGGAAAGTGGGATAAACACTGTCGGCTTCACCCACTTCCTGCATAAGGAGGTGGGGCTAAAAGAATATGGAGAGGAAGTTCTTACTCTGACATTCTGCACCAAGCATCTCAACCTCTGAGGTTCAACCCAAGCTTTATAATACAAGGTTGAATAAACCCAGTACTGTGGAGGACATGTGGACCTCAGTTGTGGGATGTGCAGGATCCTAATGCAGTAATGTGTCTCAGATGTGACAGACATTAGACCACAACTACTTCAGGGTCCCACAAAGGAAGCGTTCTGAACAACAGGGCTCACCTTCCACACGAGTCCCTACAGTGCTGTTCAGGACATCACCAGGAGGGGGAGCTGCACCCAGGTTGTAAACCACCCCCCGGATGTGCAGCTCTCCGGTCTGGTGTGGTAGCAGTTTGAGACGAGCCTGTAAAATAGAAATAGAGGGTGGGGGTGGAATCAATGCCCCCAAAGTCAGGGTGACCAGCAAACCAATAAGATCACGTTTCACCACAAAGAAACAGTAGCCATGAGACCACCCCATAGAGGACAGATACCCCTTCACATGGGCAGAGGGACCAGGTCAGGGACTCACCACTTTCTTTTCTTCTGGGCTCATGTGGAACTCTGATATTACTTCAGTGGTAATTAAACCCCCTTGAGATGCCTGTGGGTCAAACAGATGCAGGACACCCTCAAGTAGCCATCTTCTCATCACATACTTAGTTTCCCAAAGCCCCACAACTCACTCTCTGGATAAGGAAACATCTACCTCTCATTGGTCAGTCATGAGCAGAAACTCTACACTAGCCCAGGAACTCAGAGGAACTGAACTGAAGAAGACAGTAAGGACCTCAGGATGGAGTTGCGCCAGCTGCTACCTGCACTTCTCTCTCGTTGCTCACGACCTCATCGGTTTCACCACCCCGCTGCTGCCCAGGTTCCTTGGGGGAGAACTTCCAGAGCAGGGAGAGCCCAGTGAGGATGAGGGGGACCTTCAAGGGATTTCTGAAGACCACCTCGACGATGATGGGTTCTAGGTAAGCATGGACAGGGCATGTTTATGAGAAACACTGTGGCTGCCTGTTTAGAAAATCATGTAATGAAATCACTGCAGATTAACTAATTGAATTACATGTGAAATCCATGGCATTAATGAATTCAAAAGACATGTACAGTACAGGCAAAAAGTTTGGACACACCTTCTCATTCAATGTGTTTTCTTTATTTTCATGACCATTTACATTGGTAGATTGTCACTGAAGGCATCAAAACTATGAATGAACACATGTGGAGTTATGTACTTAACAAAAAAGGTGAAATAACTGAAAACATGTTTTATATTCTAGTTTCTTCAAAATAGCCACCCTTTGCTCTGATTACTGCTTTGCACACTCTTGGCATTCTCTCGATGAGCTTCAAGAGGTAGTCACCTGAAATGGTTTTCACTTCACAGGTGTGCCTTATCAGGGTTAATTAGTGGAATTTCTTGCTTTATCAATGGGGTTTGCGTTTAGTTGGACGATCATTTATTTTTCAACAGGACAATGACCCCAAACACACCTCCAGGCTGTGTAAGGGCTATTTGACCAAGAAGGAGAGTGATGGAGTGCTGCGGCAGATGACCTGGCCTCCACAGTCACCGGACCTGAACCCAATCGAGATGGTTTGGGGTGAGCTGGACCGCAGAGTGAAGGCAAAGGGGCCAACAAGTGCTAAACACCTCTGGGAACTCCTTCAAGACTGTTGGAAAACCATTTCAGGTGACTACCTCTTGAAGCTCATCGAGAGAATGCCAAGAGTGTGCAAAGCAGTAATCAGAGCAAAGGGTGGCTATTTTGAAGAAACTAGAATATAAAACATGTTTTCAGTTATTTCACCTTTTTTGTTAAGTACATAACTCCACATGTGTTCATTCATAGATTCTCACTGAAGGCATCAAAACTATCAATGTAAATGGTCATGAAAATAAAGAAAACACATTGAATGAGAAGGTGTGTCCAAACTTTTGGCCTGTACTGTATATTTTTTTAATCAAAATTCTGTGACATTGTGGAGTCAATCATTCCATAGTAGTGTTTCTCAACTCAGTCCTCAGGGAGCCCCAGACAGTCCATGTTTTTTTCCACCTGAACCTGGTGGAGATTCCGCCGCCAGACTCCACACTCCAGCCCAGCACCTCCGCCCAGCTGCCCATAAGGGGCCGGACCGCGAGGGCGTGCATGAGATCAACTTCAAGAGTGCAGAGAAGGTGTCCATGAACACAAATACCTGGTACAGGTATACTGGTAGATAGGAGAGACCACAAATGTGCACAGTCTAGAGGTTCCCATGGACTGGGCAGAGAAACACTACTCTGCAGAAACATGCATCCAACAAGAAACCAATCAAACCATCCTAATATTCAAGTGAGTATAAAGAAATGATGGATGGAAGGATGGATGGATGGAAGGAAATACCTTCCACCACAGCCAAGGGGAAGCGCATGTTGTCCGTCTGGTTGCTCAGGCAGTACAGCGTGGGCTGGAAGGCTGCAGGCAGCACACCCCGGTTCACTATGGCCACCACCTGCTCCTCCAGCTCCCGCCACTGCTGGGACAGCTCGCGGTCGTACTCCTGGTCCAGGCTGACATGGCTCGCAGCCTGCTTCTCTCCTGGGACAGAGAAGCAGCCTCGGCTTAGTATTTGCCAATTTATATTTGCTAAATGTTACAGGAGTTCACTATTTACAGTGGTGCCTGTCACAATCTGTTCCAGGAAAGTGGTCGTGAACCAATTTGTACGCGAACCAAGGCAGTTTTTACCATAAGAAAGCATTGAAATTCGATTAATTCATTCACAAGTCTACCAAAGAATAATTTTTAATTACTTTTCTGGTTTTTATAGTAAAAACTTTAAAGAAATACACAATATAGTGTGGCAACGAGCGGACTGAGGCATCGCAGGAGCAGAGAGAGACATGGAAATCACACTCTTTATTAACAGTCCTTTACCTTGTATTGTTCTTGTTGATGTTAATGGTTGCATTTCCCTATTGTCACACGTGTGTTTGCCCGTGTCTTGTGTGTACCCGGTCCGATCCTCGCGTGTATTTAGCGTGTGTAAATCTTCCACCGTGTGTGCATCTTGCAGTTTGGCGTCTTGCAACCTTGTGTTTCCGGTCTGTGTATTTGGATTTGGTGCTTGTTGGGTGCCTGTTGTGGTCCTTCTATTTACAATTGCATGCTGGGACATATGTCCTGCCGGTGCTACACTAGTACAAAAAAGGAACCTGGTCGAAGAATTTGTTCGTCAACCAAATTTTGTGCGTGAACCAATGCTATTTTTCACAAAATATTTGGTAGTGAACCAAATTGTTCGTAGACCACAGCATTCGTGAACCACAGGCACCACTGTACTAGAAAATCAATTTGATGAAGAGGTGAAAGAGAAGTGAATCTCAGCTCTTAAGTTCTCAGGGACCACTGACTGCACCACGCCTCCATCCAAAGTGTCATGGAGGCAGCCAAACTACCTCAGCGGTGCCTCTACTGGTCAGTCTGCTTATAGCATCTCTGCATTTGAAGCACTTAAGCACCAAAATTTCCAGGAAGTCTAGAATGTGCCGATTGTCTCTATGGTGCTCAGACACAATGAAAGCTTAATCAGGAGCTTTATTAAATGGATTATTCCAATTGAAGGTTTACTATTACAGAAAAGATGCAAGTGTACACAAGTGGTTTGAATGACAAAGCTGATTCTGATTTTACAAATGACTTAAATTTGCTTCTGAACATGGAAGGTTTTTTTTGGGGTGGCCTGAACATCTTGCATGAGCACATGCAGCTCGCCACGGCGTCGGCGGACACGTCCTTGCTGCAGGAGGCTGGCGCTGTCACCGGACACTGCCCTGGCTTCAGACGCCCTTTCTGCCTGTAAACTCCGCCTCCTTTTATTTTGGCTCCTCAAATTTCGCCGCGCTTATGTGGCATGTACATCGCGGTTATTTTTAAATCTGATGGACAGCAGTGATCACACAGCTCCCTGATGAGCTCCCTCATCTCCTATGATGTTTCAAAGCTGCGGACTTTCATTCTCACCCTCGGCCAGCCTCCGGTCATGGCCGAAGAAGACCCTGGTGGCGAAGCTGTGGATGCAGGGCAGGGGGAGTTGGGGGAGGACCCCTTCTGTGGACGCCTGGCTCACGCTCTGGGATTGGGGGCAAAGTAAACGATTGGAAACATCAACATGTGCCCAGCAGAGGTCTTGGGACACAGATGAACGTTCTCAGGAGTACGGCAGCTTAGCAGCTCAACACCATAACTGATACATATTCACTGTGTGGAATGCCCAATAGTTATACAGAAGGTAGCCAGAAGTTATACAGAAGGATTTCTTGCTCAGCCAGATAACTTGTCGGATTTAAGGTAGACTGGTTTAAATTGAAGCGAATGCAGATAAAGTCCATTTAATCTAGAATACCTTAAATTCAACAAGTTATCCGTCTAAGCAAGAAACCCTGCTTTCTGAAACAGTCCCCTGGTCCTGTTCTCCATTACTCTCCATAACACTGATAAAGGATTTCCAAGTACATACAGCATTTAGCTGCTGCTGCTGCATTACCCTTGTTTACATACAGACACATTGCACTATGTGAATAAACCCTTATGTCCAGCCCCTCTGTTTCACACTGTCCACTGTGTGAAAACCGTCCCCTTATTACTGCTGTTGTCATGCTCCAGGGGGAATGCCATTTCAAGCCGCTATGCATGGCTGATATGACGATAAAGCCCACTTCCAAGAGTGTTAGAGACTGTTAGAGTCTTGGATGCATAAACTGTGCATCCCCAATGGCAGAATTAAGATTAGTCATGACAATAATATGCATCTGGTGCAAACGCTGAAAGTTAAAGAAAATCTTTGCAGAATCAGACTGTGTTCAGCTAATTTATATGGCTCCTCCAAGGCAAGAAACGAAAAAAAAAATGTGACCAGCCGGGCATGTGGCAGCCGAGGCAAGGCCCACCCGCACCTTGTAGACGTAGAGGTACTCCCTGAGGAAGGCGCCCTGCTGCGAGGCGGCCTGTTTGCTGTCGTTGATCAGAATGTGCCGAAAGGCCGCCACGGCGTTCTCGGGCTGCCGCAGCGTGAAAGACTGCCGTCCGATGGTGAAATTGATGTGGTCCTCGGCCAGAGACCAGCCCTTGCCCTTGTACACCTGCATGGCCTGACAGTAGCATCGCAGGGCATGCCTCTTCTGTAGAGGAGAGCACAGGCCGGTAAATGGACAGATGCCTTTACCGCTGTGACACCTAGTGGTACTTGTCAACACCAGCAAAGTCCCTGGTCCCTTCCAGACCAAACTTATTACAGTCTTAAGCAGAATAGTGTGGATACTTGACTGCCATATCAAGCTGGACATATGAACCCAAAACAAACCCAAGTTGGTTAAAATATGCCTGGACTGAAGCCACAGAAGCATCACACTACTGCTTAGGGGGTCCCAGATGGATCCCATTTGACGGCTGGGGTCAGCTGATCTTCAGTACACTGATACTGACTTTGACAACCTCCCATTCTATGGCGTTTTAAATTCACACAGAAACAAATGCATGCTTTTCATCCTTATAATATGATTGGTTAATTGACTAAAATCCTTAACCAATGAAGTCACATATTGTTAACTATAAATCGCTTTTCAGGTGGTCATTGTGGAAATCTGTTAACAGTTTAAATAAGGGTCTGCTTTGTACTAAAGTACTGATCACAAAAACATTCAACAATAAGAATGAGCGTTTTTATACGCATATTAATAAATAAAAATAATAAAACAATAATAATAATATCATCATCATCATCATCATCATCGTCTCATCTACGATTGCTGGTGTGTTTTTAGTCGTCCTAAAAAAGAACCACAACACCATTAATAAATAAGACACCAGCCTTGTAATACTCCCACCCCCCACCCCAAAGGGTGCCCGGTTACAGAAGGGCTCCCTCACTGGCGTCGGTGGGGGTGTGGCACGTAACCCGAGCCTCACCTGGCCCGCCTTGCTGAACCTGTGTCCCGCCAGGATCATGTGGAAGGCAAACTTGCGCACCATGGGGCTCCTCATGTTGATGAAACAGTGGGCCGCCTGCTCCAGCAGCAGCGCGCTCCGCAAGTCCGAGTCCTGTGTGACGGATGACAAGCTTAATGTGACAGATGGCAGCCAAGTTACACCCCAAATACCAGCTGTTCAGTTCAGCCATCAGGCCTAGGGCAGGGCTTTTGATGTGAAACAGGCACGTGTACAGGGGTGGGGCAACAGGCCCAAGATGAAAGCTGATTGGCTACCAAAGTGCCGCGTCCCGTCACTCACCAAATCAAAAGATATCATTGGCTAATAAGGCTGGACCCACTGTATGAATTATGGTCCCTCGTATGCCACCCAATCCTAGAATTGCTCCTGATTTGAAAACATCCCTGATCTAAGCACTCGTGCTCTGGATGAGGGAATGTTTTTGAGTAAATAATCAGGCTACTACTGGATACATTCTCAATTGAAATCAGCATGCAGGAAAAGCCTGAGATAGACATCATACCTCGCTCGTCATCTTGATCAAAAGGGTGGCGGCATCCGAATACTTGGCTTGGCTCTTCAGGATCTCAGCACTGAGCAGGGCACACCTCTCAGCCATCACCATGTTCCTGGGGACAGAATCAAACAATTGAGGGGGGGGGGGGGTGTCACACCACAGTCCTCAAATCCCCACACCAGCTCACAAAGGCTTCCACCGGAGAAAGAGCTGACAGCTCAAACGGGTCTCATTACCTACATACCCCCAAAATGCCCTTCAAACAAAATGGCTATTTTACAGGCAACAGCACAATTTTAGCTCGAATCAAGACCCATTATGATGATGGGGGTGGCATCAGAATCTGCCCTGGGGTGGGGCTCTCTCTCTGATATTCAAATGAATCTGAAGGGCTGATGAATCGCCACACTGATATAGCACCTTTCACATTAATATACTAATAGTCCAACCCCCTACTGGCAAGAGTGGTACGTACTTGCACACATCCCTGTAGGTCTGGATGGCAGTGTCCATGTAGTGGGCGGGGTAGGGTCTCGGAGCACCAGGCTGAAGAAAGGCGGACACAGCAGCCATTTCCTAAAAAGAGAGACACTCGGGGTCAAAGATCGTGAAAAGCTCAAGCTGGTCATCTGAACCAGAAAAGCAGAGAGGCAGTTATGGGAGAACTGGGACTTTCATCTCCCACTATGGGGTTAATCAAACACCGTCAATCATTAACAAACAACAAAGCGACCAATGGAATATACTCAGTGACAGCACATTATAACCACACCCACGCAGATTATCTAGTCGTGCTTCTCCCATACCTATATAAGATCACCGCGAGGTGCGGTTATTAATATCCCGAGACTCACCAGGGCCCCGGCAGCATACAGCATAGCCTGGTCACTCAGGAAGTCCTTCTTGGCTGCATGATAGTAGCTGTATGCCAAGTCATAGTGCTGCACCAAGAAACACAGGTCGGCCATCTTCCTGATCTGAAGCTCGGGTGCCTCTGGGGGGTATCTAAAAGATGACAGAGCCATGGGCAGCTTCTGCAGAGCTCACGCGACCCTTTACAGAATGTGCAGACCTGGTGTTTCACAAACTATTAGTAACAGCTCAACCCAGAACGAGCAGGTTTATCCAGGGCATTTAAAAATCTGGATCACGACGTTGGTAACACAACACGCGAGAATCCACAATGCATCTCAGGGTTTCTTAAGCAATAACTACAGCGACTGCAAATAAACAGTCGGGTAACTGAATAACTTAAGGAAACAAAATTTACTTTGTTAAGTGTTATGTAAAATCGGTATGTCAGCTGACGTCACACTCGACAATAGCCGCAGTGTATTGTGGGTCGAATCGTCATTTCGATTGTGTACAACGGAAGAGCAAGCATTTGCATCTGGCATTATCTTTGGTAAGATGGGACACTTGTACTATGTGAAAGGCTGTCATACTAAGTCACATTGTAGAAATGGCAGAAAGGTGGACCACAACATGAGATTTTTTCAGTTTCCCACTTGGAAAAGAGGATATGGACGGCAGGTAGAGGAGGTAACGAAGAGGCGTTGGATGGCCTGGGTCGCAGCGGTGAGATGGAAGGAGATCACTGTCAACACTATATCTCCCTTAATGCGTGTCTGCTCTCTGCATTTTCATAAAGGCAACTAAGATGTTTTTTGTTTGAGTAATATTGCTGGATACTTTGTACTCTAAAGTTGGTATTTTCACATTGGTTAACACACGCTAGCAAGCTAGCCTCACTACGGAGGGTAGCAGAAACGGGTTAATCTGTTCGTGTTAAAGTAGTGTTACAGAGTGAATGCTTTTTAAAGACAAAAGTAAACAGCAAAACTTTAATGACACGTTTATCAGTGCATGTATGTGTATATTCGCGTCCAATGACATTTTTGTGGTGTTCTTGACTCTTTTCCTTTCTTAAACACCTAAATGACTGGTGTGTTTTGGTAATGAAAATTTTGGTAATGAAAATCAGTAACCTATTACTGATAAAGTTTCATAAAACATTATTAAGTTTGCTAACCAAATGTGTTTACATCCATGATACACTCAAAATGGCAAATTGGGGCGTATCAGACAGTCCGGACACGTGACTGACAAAGACTGATTCTCCCAGTAGTTATCACTATGGACATGTCAATATCCTCACAGAAGTTCGAGCAGAGAAGAGATGCTACTTACAATAACCCGGATGTGTTCTTCAGCTCGTTGATGCTCTTCTCCGGTACCTTCCCACCGCCAAACCACTTCTTTGTTGCAGAAATCAGGGAACTACTTATGCCTTTCCTTGACATACGCTGGAGCGGAAAGAGGGGCAAACGAGAGAAAGGGAGAGGTTTTCAGTGGCTGTGCCAAAAGGATTGCGATTTATGATCATCCTCCCATCCACCCGCGCTCCCCGCCGTCCCGCACATCCACCCGCGCTCCCCGCCGTCCCGCACATCCACCCGCGCTCCCCGCCGTCCCGCACATCCACCCGCGCTCCCCGCCACCCCGTACATCTGCGCTCCCCGCCACACATCCACCCGCGCTCCCCGCCGCCCGTACATCTGCGCTCCTCACCGCACATCCACCCGCGCTCCCCGCCGCCCCGTACATCCGCGCTCCCCGCCGCCTGCTTATCCAGTACAAGATAACAATGAGCCGCAGGACAGTGAACATCCAGGATGGGATCCAACTTCAAGCCATGCAGATGTGCTAACAGCCTCCCCCCCCCGGAACATCTTCTATCTTCTCTCAGTTACTAATCCAACCCGAGCCGCATCATTCATTCAAATATAATTGTAGGTTTACTGTAATTTCATCATGCACTCAGGGAACGGAGCACACGGGATATCACAGCTGGATTCCTGGGAGAAAATTAACAAATATTTGGACCTATTAAGTTAGCAAAATGGGCTCTAATGAGAAAATGCCTCCAGAGCCTGGAATATGACACCAACACCAGTGTCAAAAATGCTGTCGAACTTATTTTTCATCTATAACTTCCCCTTCGGGTTCATGGAGAAAATTAATCTGATTACTGTAGTAATATTAGTTAGAAGGTGGGTGCCTAATTCTCCCACTGCACTTTCTGTCAGATTTATCTTCAAATGTCCCTTTCATTGGGATCAGAATCATCAACTGCAAAGGGTCAGCGGTGTTCAGCGGCCATCTTCAATAATCTCGCTGCTCCAAAAGAACCAGCGCCCCCTTTTCTGTCCGGACATCCTGACCTATCTGCTCCCTTTCAGTTACAGTGACAGAAGACTTCAATAAGTCTCAGTACCAATCACGCCCCCTAGGCCGTAAGCTAACTGTAGCTGTCTAGCGTGACCTGCAGTCGAGCCACAAGCCAGCGTCCAAGGTCAGGGGGTGACAGGCCTCTACCTTAAAGCACAGATTGTCCAAGTCTATTCGACAGTGAGCATTAAAATGACTTAGTATTAAGCATGACCCAAGTTCAGCTTTGCTGTATTGTGTCTACCAGCAGGGGACAAATTGGAGATTTGGTGAACAGGTCATGTCTTATGTGTTTAGGATGTTTGGGCTGTAAACACACCCCTGAATAAGCAATCGCCAGAAATCAATGCACCGGCGCCGGGGATCCAATATCACCACTTGGGCATGGGAGGTAAAGTTCAGTCAAGAAACACAAACCTGGTCATTGAGCTGCCGAATGTTCTTCTCAATGTGAGGCAGGAGGCCCCTGAATGTGAACTCCTGGATGAATAAGCGGATGCGGTCATGGTCACCAAGGGTCAGGCAAGCCCCGTGTGTGGCAGGGGCAGCACATGGCTGCTTCCTGATGTCGACCGCAGGCCCCGTCCCCGGAGGCTTGATGTCATCGATGCATTCCATGTGGGTGGCGACATTGCTGGGGTCATCCAACTGCAGAGGGTGGTCGCTGTTTACTCTGCCAACATCGTCTGCAAAAGACAGCAAGAGGTTTGAAATACAGAAACAAGAAGCAGCAGTACCTGCACACCAGCCCATCAAGCACATAAACAAAGAGGCAGCTGGTAATACCAACCAAATGCCAAGGATGTTACCATTAGATATGTGTAAGGGTTACACACCTTTACACAGCCAAAGCCAACCAACAGAACCCAAAGACCAACAAACATCCAGGGCTCTAACCATAACCCAACCTGCCCTTAGTGGCACCAGCAGGCTGAAACGTCCAGCACCAGGGGATGTAACAGAACTCAGTGAACAGGTACAAGCTGGAAGATGGAACATCCATGTTGTGGCCACCAGTCTAGTTTTCTGATCCTACGATTTGCACAGGCAGCAATGAAAGAGGACTGGTACAGCACTTTCGTTTACCTTTAGCGGGCAGGTGGAGCCCGTCAGTTTCGGACGCGTTCATGCTGTTCTCAACATTGTTCACGACCACCGCAGAACCCTCTTCAGGCAGCTCCTAGGAGATGCGTGAATCTCAGTCAGTGGTTTGAGAAACCAGGCCCAGATCAGTTCAGGTGGGTCTCAAGAACAATTTTAGAGTGCAAACTAAAAAGTTGGTCAAAATTCGTACTATAAAATGATAGGGAGTCAGACAGGGAAGGACCAGGCAGAATCTGCAGAGAGGCGCACCATACTGACCATGTATGAGCACCAAATGGTAGCCATAGCAACGTTCAATACGACCAGGAGGATTCAGGGGCAAACTGAGCCTACAGTATGATAGTTAGGGAACACTACCATCTGTAGGGGAAGGACATTTTCCCAAGGAACAAACCTGGTTCTGCAAATTATTTCTGTGCAAATACTGACTCCAGGGATCCGGAATCTGCTCATCAGGCCCGAGCGTGGACGTCCGTGAGTTGATTTTGAGCAGATAGCACGCCTGGGTCCCGTACCTCTGCTTAATGTCCTCGTAGATAGACTCGGCCCTGTTGGCAAGAAGTAAACCTGTCTGTGACTCGAAAGGCATCGCGTTTCAAAATAATACCAGTAACAAAGCATGTGCTCTAGAGAAGAGAAAAACAAAGCAAAATAAATCAATGCCCTGGCTGACAAAACAAATGGGATCAAATTCAGCCTCTATATAACTGTCCGTATGGGGAGGGCAGACACAAGCTTCAGTGCATTATAAATCCAATACAACTGGAAAAGCAAGTTAATTGTAGATTAAATGTCTATACTCTCATTCAATTTCTTCACATTAAAGCTACAGAAAAATCTGAAGGGTGACGAAAAGCATTGGCATGATGACACTTATAGCTCAATAAATGCTGCCCTCACATTGTTCCTTAATGGGAAACCAGCTAAGAAAAACAGAGCAAAAGGCTGTCATGTTCCCATCAGCACCAGGAAGCCTGAAGTCCTAGACAGACATGCTGTCTACAACCAAGTTACCAAAAAGGTTGTAAAATGTAAAAAACAGAATGAAATGATTTGTGAATTATGTAAACCCATATTTAATTGAAAACAGAATGAAATGAAGATAACATATCAAATGTTGAAACTGAGAAATATTGTTTTATGACAAATATATGCTCAATTTCAAAAAAGTTGGGACTGGGGCAACAAAAGACTGGAAAAGTTGTGCAATGCTAAAACAAAACACCTGGTTGAATATCTCACAACTAATTAGGTTAATTGACAAATTGGTCAGCAAGATGATTGGAGGGCTCTTTTTATACCCAGAGAGGCTGGGTCTCTGTGCAGTGAAGATGGGGAGAGGTTCACCACTCTGTGGGCAAGTAAAGCAACAATTTAAGAATAATGTTCCTCAAGATTTTGGGAATTCCATCATCTATGGTGCATAATATAATTTAAAAATTCCAAAAATCCGGAGAAATGTCTGTGTGCAAGGGACAAGGCCGAAAACCAGATTGGATAGCTGTGATCTTCAGGTCCTCAGGCGACACTGCATTAAAAACAGACATGATTCAATAGGGGAAATCACTGCATGGGCTCAGGAACACCACTGAAAACCTTTTTGTCTGTGAACACAGTTCATCTATCCATCCACAAATGCAGGATGAAACTCTACCATGCAAAGAACAAACCATATCTTCACATGATCCACAAATACCGCCTGTCATTTAAGATGGATTGAGGCAAAACGGAAAACTGTCCTGTGGTCTGACAAATCAAAACTTCAAATTTTTTTTGGAAATCATAGAAGCCGTGTCCTCCGGGATAAAAAGGAGAGGGATGACCCAGCTTGTTATCAGCAGACAGTTCAAAATCCAGTATCTGTGATGGTATGGGGGTACCTTAGTCCCCATGGCTTGGGTAGCTTACACATCTGGGAAGGCACCATTAATGCTTAATATACAGACGCTCCTTTACTTACGAATGAGATATGTTCCGAACTGCTGTTCGTAACTTGAAATGTTCATAAGTCATTATTCAACATATTTAAGGGTATACGCAAGTACAAAGAACTAGGATGCTGTGAGTACGCACGCTACGCTGCTGCGCGGCGGGAGTAGCGGCCAGAAGTCATACTAGGTGAAAAAAAAATTGATATTGCGGACAGGAAATGGGAGCCCAATGAACACAATTTGGACTTACAGTCCTCTTTGTATGTCTGAAAGTTCGTAAGTTGAAAGATCGTAAGTAGTAAGTAGAGGAGCGTCTGTATATAGGATTTGCCGCAACATATGCTGCTATCCAGACAACATCTTTTTCAGAGAAGGCCTTGTACATTTCAGCAAGACAATGACAAACTGCATCCTGCACATATTACAACAGCATGGCTCCATAGCCTGTCTGCAGTCCAGACCTGTCAGCCACTGAAACCATTTCACACATCATGAAACGAAATATACAACAAATGAGACCACCAACTGTTGTACAGTTGAAATCCGATATCAGGCAAGAATGGGTCAACATTTCACTTTCAAAACCTCAGCAACTGGTCTCCTCAGTTCCCAAACCTTTAGAGTGTTGTTAAAACAAGAGGTGATACAACACAGTAGTAAACATGCCCCTGTCCCAACAAGTTTTGAAATTTGTTGCTGGCATCAAATTCACATTGAGCATGCATTTGTCATAAATCAATAAAAGGTCTCAGTTTTAACATCTGATAAGTCATCTTTGTTCCATTTCCAGTTAAATATGGGTTTATATGATCTGCAGATCATTGCATTCTGTTTTTATTTACATTCTACACAATGTCCCAACTTTTTTTGGAAATGGGGTTGTATATGGTTGTCAGCATGTGACATTGACTACATGAAATCAAATAAAAGTAATAGCGATTCAACAACTGCCTGGAACCTGGCATGAGCTGCCAGCTGTGTTATATCCTTCCACAGCCACACCTCGCTCATTCAAATGGCAGGCGGGAGTGTGACTTCAGCGAGACGTCCTGCCCCGGGTAGGCGTACCTCTGCTCGTCACCCTCGCTGACGTCATGCAGCAGAACGTAGTACTTCAGAGTGTTGGGGATGAACCACTTGGGGTAGGCATGCTCGCTGCCATGCTGGATGCGGTGCTGGTCCTGGGACAGCTTGAAGAGCTGGTCCACGGGCGAGGCCTCGTGCGATGTCACCACAAGCATGCCTGAGGGAACGTGCGTCAAGGGAAGCCGGGAAGGCCGAAAAGTGAAAGTGAAAGTGAAACCATCTGGAAGTGAAACGAAGACCAGGCAATGGGGAGCTGGGATGGCACAAATGGATCAAAAAAAAAAAAAACAGGCCTAATGGTTCCATTGTTTGCTTAGGATTCTACATTCCTAAAGTCCCTCAGCATTAATGGCTGAATAACCAGAGGCTCAGGAGCCACGTGAGACACTGGTTGCTGCCCACAATATTGTCAGAGGTGGGCTTGGTATGTAGCCATTTCCGAGCAGGCTGATAAAAGGATACAGGCCAGGTAGTGGTTGAGAAACTCGTGGTCGGAGGCTGGCATGGACTGGAGGAAATTTTCTCGGTAAGCCTCAAACCAGGGAGTCGTGGCTGGAAAGGAAGGCGTACCAGACCCTTAAGAAGCTGGGTGTGAGGGTACTTCACTCCTGGGAGTGGTACACATGTTCTACACTAGCTTAGAGGAAAAAAATGCACAGCAGGAGGACAGACTATACAGAATTGTCACCACTGCTAAAAGACTGTATCTAACAGCAAAAATGACTAAAGACGAGAAGACCGGAGAGAAAGCACATTTCAAGGCAAGATAGCTAAAAATGCTCAGGAAAGTCTTTTTTTAAACACTCCAAGTGATACCTGTGAAACAGACTTATTACTCCCAATTAGTCTACATGATTCAGTGCCCCTGGAAATAGGGGTATACAGCAAAGAGGTCTACTTTTCCATTTAAAGCCTCAATCTTCCTTATGTGAACAATCTCACTCCATGTGTAGCTACTAGGCCTACTGCCAGCTCAACCCTACCACCATCCCGTCAGGAGATTCGGACACTCCATCTTTCTGACAAGGTCTTTAGCATGCATTGGCTTGGTGAGACGGGGGGCCAAGTCCTCAGGGGGTCGAGTTGAACTTTTTTTGTTCGACTGAAACCCAGGAAACTCCTAAGCTTGCAAGAAATACTCATTATCTGAATTCCGTGACATCTGACTAACTGTTCAAATGTTGAACATTTAGATCTTTATGGAACACAACTCCATTCACTGACGTCTTCAATTCACAGAGGACCAGAATTAGCTTGCCTCGAATTATACATAGCTCCTTTTATCTCTCCAACAAACCGAAATGCTGAAGTTAAATTAAGCAGTAAACAGGTCAGCTAAGCATGGAAGCCATCCAAGCACTCCATCATTTACCCTCAGTGGACTGCTGAACTGGAAAACTCCTTCTGTCTACACCTCTTCACCAATAAGACGATGCATGTATGAGTGCTTAAGCTTGAAAAGTAGCCAGCTTCCACTACCCTTTGATAATGTGGTCTACAGGTAACAGCACCCACTCCAGGACCCTTCACTTGATTAAAGAGTGCACACCATCGCATTAAATCAATGAGCAAGAGGGCTAGCAGGAAGACATCAAGCTACAGGGAAAATCACAACAGAGCTAAAAGATATTACACATAACAAAAGGGGAAAATAGGCCAAAGCCTAGATTCACAGCTGTCCGAAATTCAAACAGTGGTCACTTTAACCGCATATGTAGAGTTGTATCTCCAAAAGACAAACATTGAATTGATCACATCATAGCATTAAAATCTTGTAAGTTGGGTAACTCACTAATGCATTCTGTTTTTGCTTCCTTTTCTATGTAGGGTGCTCACATCTTCAACGATTAAAAAAAATAATAAAAAAATCAATAACATTAACCTGTTCCAAAATAGAGTTCCGGCCAAACAGGAAGCCCAGTTACAGGAAAAGGAAGTCACAACGATGTCCGAAATTTCCATTTCCAGAATGTGACCACTGTTGAATTGGATCAGGTTTATTGTTGTGTGAGGGCATGGGTACAAAAAGTAAATTGCAGATGTTTACATTTACATTAGTGAGTGGACTGCACAAAGAGTGAGCCACCTTCATTGTAGAGATAATACTGATCAGACCAGGCTTCCAAATCAGGTACTGGATCATGGACAAAGTGAAGATCTCAGCCAAAGTGGTGGCCCACACTTTGCCTGACCAATACAAAACAAATAAAACAAATCACAAAATTTTTGCTCACAGCCAATCTATAATTCTGTTAAGCAGCAAGAGAATTTGATTCACTCGGGAGATTTCAGAGCTCATTAGTGGGTCGATTTCTCTTCATATGAGAATGCGGTGCAATTACTTTTTGTAACCATATCAGAATATTTACAAGTGCAACGTCTAAAGCTCTAAACAGATACACAGCTAGTCGGACTAAGAACAGACATGATTCTCCACCCTAATTGAAAACATCAGACAAAAGATAGAGCAGGCTGTGGAAGAGTTAGTCAGATTGGGGAGGGGGGCAGGCAGAAAGAAAACAGAATAAGAAGAAGCAAGGGAGGCCCCCCTACACCATCTTTTGGGAATACCTGTATAGAACTTGGATTTGCTCAGTTCCATCAGTGTGTCTTTCCAACTATAGTACCAAGGAACACTAGCTTTAAGCGAGCCATCTGATGGAAATAAAATACACGTTCAGGTTACTGGCCAAGGCCCCCAAATCCGAGCGTCAAGAAAAATCAATCTGCCAAGAAAAACACAAGTCTCACACACCTTCTACATTTCTACACACTCCCTGAAATCTTATGGTCAGGAAAAGGTTATGTAGAGTGTTAGTACTGTAATAATTCATGTGACAATCTCCGTCACGGTAGGTGAGGAGATAAACCACATGCAGGCAGGAGAGGAACACAGTCAATTTTGTCAATTGTTTCAACAATCATCTACGACTCATACACTGGATATTGTTACATTTCACCAGCATGTGAAGCGTCTTACCAGGAATTCCATCCAGAAGATTTTTATTAAAGGGGGAGGGGGGAGAAACAGAGCATCATTAAAAGTTGTCTTTAATCACAATTTCAAAACATCATTCCTGGCATTTCATGAGCTCTCAAAACAAGAGGCTAAAGACTCACCACACAAGATAACATTACAAGAAAGCACCTCAATAAAGAGATTTGTTTTCATTTCCACGTGGGATTTAAATGACGGGAGAGACATCGTCATGGAGATGGATCCTTCTGGAGCCTCCTTCCTGTCCATTCTAACTGCAGCCCTTCAAGCCTGACGTTCCAGTGGCCAGGCTACCCCTAGTGTGCTAAGTCTGAGATCCTTTCAGGACTTTCCATCCATGTTGTTTCACCTTTCGCTCTAGCGATCTGGTTTTAATCACTGAGCTGTGATCACGCTGCCCCAACTGGCAGGCTGACATTGCAAATTTGCCATCTTTCACACAGCTTCTGTGATGTAAACTGACCTTGAACGGAGGCAGAAGCTAAACAGATAAATTCAAATCAGTCAACCCCAGTTTGTGGACAATGATGGAATATAAGAATTTTTGCTACTAGCCAAGTGGGCTAGTTCAGTAAAAATGTAGTCTGACATGCATTTTTACTAGCCAGCAGGCTAAGTACTAAATTACTCAGTCTAAATTACTCCACCCCTGGGTGTGGTAGAAAAAAAAAAAAACCTAGATTTGCCATTTGACGGAAGAAATCTGAGCAAGTTAGGATAAAGTGTGATACAACAGTTCTGAGTGTCGCAAGCATACTGGACAATAAAAGGACAACATACTTAAGACCTCTCCTCTCATCAGCTGCATCCGAACATGGGCCAAGCCCCACCGTTTGACCTTCAGCTCTTCTCCCAGCTGCCCTAACCCTAACTTACCGCTGATGTTGAGGTCATAATCCCCAGCCGTAATCACGTTAGTCACCAAGCCCTCGGCTGGCTGGCTGGCTGACACCACCTCATTGAGCAACCGGCGAGTGGTGGCATGGTGGGGAGGCTCGGTCACCACATTGGACACGCTGATCTTCAGGTTCTTCACCACGTGGATCTGGTTGTTGGGATCTCGCATGTGACCTGTGTGAAACAGCGGTGAGGACATGGTCAACAAGTCTAACTTGCTATTCAATAGCTCACTTGTTGGGACTTCTTCAGAACATATTCCAGGATGCTCCCCACACACCCAATTAACTCCAGATCTTACGCAATGCTGCCAATTATCAAAACAAAAGTGTTTCAGCAGATGAATATGAAGATCATTCGAATGCTGGTGGTAAATACACCATTTTTTGTTCCTATAGACAACTACAGAATGTTGCGTTGTGGCCAAACTATACAGCATAACAACCAATGCTCCAGGGTTTAATGCTTTCATTAAAGCAATTACAGAGTCTTGCTCATCTCCACAGAGAATTCTTCAAGAGCATTACAAGCACAAGCTGTCACATAGTTGTCGATGGTCTTGATCTTGGGCTCAGAGAGAGTCTCATTTGTGAACATCAGCAGTTTTTTTTCCCAAAGACATTTACAAGAGCTGTGAAAAACTGCCAACTATCTCCCAGCTCTGCCTTCTCAAAATTCCTCCATCACCATCATCCTCCTATGGATTCCATGACCACGTAATTATGTCCAAACAGGTTAGTCTGAAGGCAAATTTCAGGAAAGAAGAGCAGTGAACCACACAACCTACTAAGTATTTCCTGTTCAGTAGTTTCAAGATTCTGCTGAATGATGACAGTGATCTATTTGAATCATACAGACAAAAACTGCAGTTAAAGTATTAGTATATTTTTCCCACCTGATTAACCTAACCTGATGATGGAGAATAAGATTCCTGTGTTATTTCCACAGTGGGGTTGACTATGCACTTGTAATGTAACCAATTATGTTCTTTAAATTCATAAAAATGCAGTACATTCGCCAAATCGCAATATTCTGAATAAGCCAAATAACTATATACAAGGAGTCAGTGTGTGAACATCAGATTAGCATCAAAAGACGCTTGTTTATTTTTTTTCCTTCTGCATTTTTAACCAAGATTTCTTGTTGAGTATCATGTATCAGGCTTTGTTGTTCACAACAACTCTTGTGCTGACCCGTCTGCCTGGACAGCAGGGTATGCAGTTTATGTCAAGTTGGCTGCCTTTAAAAAAAAAAAAAAAAAAAAAAGGGAGAAAAAAGGAAAAAGAAATCATACACACTGTTCATTACAGTGGCCTGCGACAAACAGAATTCAGGAGATGTTGCAGTCTTTTGGAAAAACTGGGAACATATTCAAAGCAACAAGATACGATATTGAATAAAATCCATCAATAATATAGGAAGTAGAATTAACAGCACATGAAGTTCATCCAAATACAACTAATTAAACTTGAACACACCCAGTTTAAATGATGACATCTCTCTGGCTACATTTTGATGTATAATGAATGGTTTCAGGAATTATACAAACAGGCACATATCTATTTAGTTGCCTTCGTTTCTCTGTATGCAGCTTGGAACCAAACGATACATTGTTCACAGCACCATGCTTCAGAGAGGCGACACAGACTATCATCACTGTTTTACGAAAAGAACAGAAGCATGCAATGATGTTCCAACCACATGTAAAACAAATGAGGATACCCAGTTCAAGCAATTTACGTTACTGCATCTGCATTTACTTCCATACCGAATATCAGAACAATATCCCATACTGTTCAGCCAAACGAAAATACAATTGCCAGTGATGGAGAGAAATAAGTCAACAATGAAAGCCTCAAATGAGTTTAGTAGAATCACACATATATTTGGCATTTTAAAAGCTTAACTTCTTCAAGCTCCCTTATGTGGGCTACGTCTGTTATGGATTCTCATTACTCTTAATGAGCGTTTTACTAAACCCCTTCCCATGTGCGTAAATTTAGAAAGTTTGGGCACGCCCAGATGCCCCGATTTTAACACCTGACACAACATCAGCTATGCTCGTATAACGGCTAACGCTGAAATTTTAAATATTTCAACTGTACATCGTGTTTTATTTATGAGGGCTATTAGGTGACCGCTAGGGGTAACGACACAAAAACGAAGGCGTTTATGTGCAGAAGTGAAACTAATGAGAATGTTAAGACTGTAACTTGTGGGGAAAACTCGCCGGATTTACAGCTAACATCTAACCAAATTTTATCGCATGAAGAGCATTTACATAAAAAAATAAGTCTGTCAGAGGTAATACACATAAATGCTCTTGTTTAGAATAAGACAGAAAGACTTGAGTATTGCTGCATAAATTTGAATAATCTTTTACATGGTTAAACGTGAGCTCAAAAATGATTAAAATGTTTTTGTCATCCTTTTTAAAATCATATGCGTTGTTGAGAATCATTTGCTCGATCTGCAGGCATTTAGCGGATTGCATTAAAGCCGGCATTGTATTGCGACTTAAACACACCGAGAAAAACAATCAACTCAGTGTTAAGAAGGAGAAACAGACCGATAGTCGGATTAACCAAGATTCATCAATAAAACAAGTACGTATATAGAAACGGATATTCCTGAACAAGATCTCAGGGAGGCCAAGAAAAAAATAGCAATTATTTGACAAACGCAGACAGAAAAGGGTGCTTGTCTATGCGCAAAACACTGATCATCAGATGCCTAGTTAAACCACCTCCCGATCCCACAAAGGGTGTTCCTACCCGGCACTACCGGCAATAGGATGTACCTATTCTGCAACGGCGCGTGCTTACGGACTCTATATCCGACGGGGCAATTTCTTTGCCTTAAATGCACATCCCATTGTATGCGGCAATAAAACCAAACCTTATAGCAATGTCAGAGTCCCCCAACACTGATGAGCGTTTCAAGTGACAAGGTCGGAGAAGGAGCAGGCCCGGCTCGCCCGGACTTGCTTATCCCACCGGCCCTTCCTGTCACTTGACCGGCCGCTAATGACAGCGACGGATTAATGCCGAAGGCGACGGGAGCTGGAATAAACGGCTGTGCAGGTCCGCAGACAAGCCCCGTTAACGCAGTGTGTGATGTCGTGCGGCAGCGATACGAACCTTCAGATGTGAGCCGGCAGAAAGGCCTCACCAGCTCGGAGAAATTCAGGTTGTTTTTCCGAGTCACTTTCTCCGCATATTCGCTACACAGGACAGCCACCATGGGAACGAACGAGTCCTGGACAAACTCCTGCACGGATTGAAGACACTGAGCCATCGTGCTCCCCGCCGTTGTCTCTGCACAAGAACCAGGAGATAGCGGGGTGTGATTTGTTTTCTGCCTGCCTACACAGCGAACCGCTCCTGAGTTGAAAACAACTCCCTTACTGACAGCCGAAAGCAGCCATGTTGGAAACCTCGGTTACCCTGCTGATTGATTTGTTTCCCGTGATGCACCGGCCTGGTCATGTGATCCTGAGCCAACTGAACAGCAACATGAGCGGTCATGTGACTAAAATGAAACGTATAAGTGGAACCGCCGCACATAACCGGGCTATCTTTGTTCATTGAGTTTATGGTGAATCCGTTAATTTTAACGGTAAATTTTTGTATGTCAAGAATATGTAGTGATATGTTACCTTCTTAAATATCCATACATCTGGAAAAACTCCTGCATGGTGAAAAACTCCTGTATGGATTGGGGGCAGTGTGTGGAATAGCAGGCTAAATCTGAGATCAGGAGGTCGTCAGTTCAAGCCCGACCCCTGGTCATATCTGTGGGCCTTTGAGCAAGGCGGCTCACCACCAGCTCCATGGAGACCATTGCAGGTGGCTGCTTGCACTCACAGGTTTGCTCTCACCTACATTTGTGTTTGTGTGTCACGGAGAGCAAGATGAGGTAGGCAAAAAGAGAATTTTCTCACAGGGATCAATAAAATATCATAATTTCATTTTCCAGCCACTTACAGTATGCTGGACAGGGTTACTCAAACATTTAAAATACAAATGAATGCATGGTTGCCAACTTACACATCTGGCACAAGAAATCTTACGGCAAATCTATATTATTCCATCATAACAGTACATACTATTTATTACCTTGTAAAACTCTTAGATAAATGTAAATGTAGGTAAAGACTTGTCTGGAATTGGAAAATCTCACTCCAGTCAGCTGACCAAAATTGGCAACCCTAAATGAATGTTACATTTACATAGCACTTTTCAAGACACCCAAAGTGCTTTACATAATCAGTGGGGAGCCACTTCAACCACCACACTGTGTAGCCCTCACCTGGATGATGCGACGGCTGACATTCTGCACCAATACACTCACCAGACAGTAGCTAAGGTGGCGAAGGGCAGGATAAATTAGATGATTAGATATAGGGGATGATTAGGAGGCCAGATTTGATAGGGCCACAGTGGGCAATTTAGCCAGGGCATCAAGATCCCACCCCTATTCATTTGAAGGATGCCCAGGGATGTTTTATGACCTCAGAGTCAGGACCACAGTTTTACATCTTATCCAAAGGAGGATACCATTTTTACAGCACATTATCCCCATCACTGTACTGGGGCATTGGGATCCACACAGACCACAGGATGGGCTAACTTGTTGGCCACACCAACACCTCTTCCAGCAGCAACACAGCTTTCTTAGTTGGTCTTTCATCAAAGTACTGGCAAAACCCAAATTTGCTTAGCTACAGATGGATTAAGTAGTCAGAACTGCAGGTGGTATGAGATATGCATGTAATGGATATATCTTACTATATCCCATGTGTAAATTCCAGCCTCACCAGTATTAATTCCACTTTTCATTTGTAAATTCAATAAGTAACAGGTGTTAAAATTATTAAGGTCAACCTTCGTTATGGTTTTAACTTGAAATAATGAAAAACCATCTGATATCACTGCCGTATGCACACAAGCACTAAAAAATAACTGCAGCCTACACCATGAACGAGCTATTGTCATATTATAATCATATTAGAATAATTGTTTTATGAGCTGTCTCAATACTCTATGCAGGCCACAATTGTATAGTTTTGGTGAATTTTTTAGAATGACTAAAGTGTAAAATATTTTGTTACCCCCCATTCAAATATCTGCAATGCATGTACACTTGCTGGTCACTTTATTAAGTCCACCTTCTAGTACTGGATTTGACCCCCTTTTGCCTTCAGAACTGCCTTAATACTCCATGGCAAGATGCTCAAAACATTTCTCAGAGACGTTGGTCTATGTAGACTGTTGTGGTCTTCTGCTGCTGTAACCCATCTGCTTCAAAAGTATTGTGCATTCAGAGATGCTCTTCTGCATTCTGTACCTTGGTTGCCCAGAGAACGGCTGCTCACTGGATGTTTTTTGTTTTTCAGACCATTCTCTGTAAACCCTAGAGATGGTTGTGCAGGGAAATCTGAGTAAATCAGCAGTTTCTGAAATACTCATGCCAGCCTGTCTGACACCAACGACCATGTCACATTCAAAGTAACTTGAATCTCCTTTCTTCCCCATTCCAGTGTTTGGTATGAGCATTAACTGAAGCTCCTGACCTGTATCTGCATGATTTTATACATAGTGCGAACATATGACTTATTGGCTGATCAGACATGTACTTCAATGACCAGTTGGATTAGTGTACCTAATAAAGTGGTCAGTGAGTGTACATTTGGTCATCAAGCAGGTGTGACTGTCTCCCTCTGCTGGACATAATCTTCTAAGACTTTCTGGAAATAATTTATACTTCACATTTAGCTGAGGAATGTACGTTTTTCCTTATTGACAGCTACAAGTAAAAAATGAATATTTTTATTTCTACAAACAATAATTAACTTGGTTTCTAAAGTTGAATAATGCAAAATACTGCGGCATATCTATTAGACACGGTGACACGACAATGACAGACTGAGGTTGAACCAGAGCACTTTTATTGATTGTCCTAAAAAGAACGCAACACAACCAGTCAGCAAGAGCAAATCTTACTACACATATACTAAGCATTGGAAACACAGAGGGGGGGTCACACATTTTCACCACACATTAAGACTTGGTGGGGGGGGGGGGGGGGGGTTACTTACAAATAAAAAAAAAAAAAAAAAAAAAAAA